CTTGACTGTAGCATGTAAACCATGATGTGCTGCTACAGCACTTTAAGGTCTCACAGCAGGATCCATCAAACAGATCAGCCCCCCTCAAGGTTTATCAAAAAACGAAACAACACAACATGAACCTCCAAAGTCCTTAATAACTTACCTGCAAGATTAAAAATCTATTATGGTCCAGGTCAATTCCATGGCTTCGAAGAAGATTTCCAACATCTTTAAATGTCCTTTTCTTTCCACTTATATGATAGACAGAAGTATTATCTCTGTAGGCTGTTCTAGACACATAGAAGTTACTATTGGGAATGACTTCATAATCATCCCCTTCCTGTTTTTAGGAAAAACAAAACCAGAAAACAACTGTTGGTATTAAGTCACAGGTCTGATTCAAATTTTATTCACTTCATACTGCAATTAATTCTATAGATTTATTTTTTGACAGATTCATACATGTAGATAATGAACTTTAGTCCTTTTCACTGCACTCTCATACACACAGGATTAAATGTGCACACAGGCTAGTAGTAGTTCTTTTAAAAAATTAAATCTTGCTTTAGTAAGGAATATATACTTTGCCAAATTGTTTGGTTTCTTTCTCAAAGATTCTTAAAACCAAAAAGCCAAACCACGCAAAGTAGCCCCAAACAAGCCAAAAATTATATTTGTTTGGTAAGAGCCAAGGAAGGTGGACAGGAGTTCTACCACATCTAAAACAAGCATGCCTAAATTAATAACCATGCTGATGGAGTAAAAAAGCTGCTACAGGAAAAGACAACTGAAGGGAAGGGAAGGAAAATAACGGGGTAGCACTGTTTGGATGGTAGTGGGGTAATGGTGTTCTCAGTCATGGGGATACAGGATCGCCTTTGCACCCCTCTTCCTACCCATCACTATTAACTGAAGGTAAAAAGGACTGTAAAAAATCCACAATTACATAAAAAAATCAGTTATAAACACATCTATTTTAACATTAAAGTTCATCTGTCCTTAAATGCTGTCATATAGCTTTTCAATTTTAGATGAATTAAATGTAATTAAGCAGGCAACTGAATAAAATCCGATTTACTGGCAATCTATTATCTAACCTAAATTTTACAACAATGAAGCAAAATTAACATAGGTGCTTCTGGGTCAAGTTCTCTAAATTTAAAAAAGAAAAACAAGCAAACAAAAAACCCCAACAGCTAAGTTACCTAAACCACTTCATTATGTGCAATTCTTTATTTTTGGGTTCCTTTCAGTCATTTTTTGAATCATGTTTTTAAGCCAATCATAAACAGACAAGAAAAAAACCACAGTATCAACAGAACCATGTAAATAACCTGGACACTTTATAATTGTCTCTATTTTCAAAAAACAAAAATGTTAGCCTGCCCCTACCATTTCAAAAAAACTTCATCACAGTAATTCAAAGAGATGAAAGTCTCTTTCATGTCACAGGTACATGGGCTACAATAACAAGCTGGATGTACAATGAAATAAGAGAGATGGTAAAATGAATGATCACATTTTAAAGATCAGGTTATTTAGTCTTAAAGTAACAAAAATACAACTTTAAAAAGGAAGCTCAAATTTATAGTAAACGAATACCTAATTGGCACTCAGGATCTGAACACTGTCAAAGTTTTCTTTCAAAAAGTTAAGAATTACACCAAGCAGTTTATTTAGAATTCATTTCTCTTTCTTCAGTTTTTAATGCTTTATATTTGACAGTTAATACTACATCCCCCAAAGTAAATATGATCACACAAAAAAATGAAGCCAACATTTCTTTTGTTTTAAATTACACACAAATTTTAAAAAAAGATTCAAGCCAACAAAACGTTCTATGTACTGACATCCTTTCTTTTCCTTGAAGCTGCCAACAGGAAAAAAAAAAAAATCCCTTACCTTATCAATTATCTTTTGAAAATGAACTTCTACAGTACAGCTCTGAATATCCTTGTGTTCATCAGAATTGTGTATTAGTACCGACAGCTTCTTAGATCTTATTTTTTGTGCTCGATAGCCAAACACAAAAAGCATGGAATCAATAACATTGGATTTTCCACTGCCATTTGGCCCAATAATACAGGAGAAGCGCTGCATAAAAAAATACATTAAAAAATTTTAAGTTCAAATGGTTGTACTAATACTACTGATTTTAAACTAATAGCTTGCAGTGAAAACTAAAGGCATTTGAAAGTTTTCATTATTAGAAAATGCAGTTTGAGTTTTCTTTCTTTCCTTTAGAAATAGACAAGCAGTTTTTTAAGGAAAAGCACTCTAAGAATGAGAGTGGGCTAGTGTGTGAAGGGAAAAGCACACTCTCCAAAAACCCAATTGGAGTTTTCCTACATTCTGTGCTTCTCTAGCACAAGCTTCAGCATTTTAAAACCATGTTCAAATTTTAACCTGGCCATTTTGCAAAACTCTATAAAAGCTAAAGGGAACAACTCCCTTCTAGCAAAAACGCAGATTCCATCTAACAGGAAAACTATGGCTACACAGGTACCAGAGAAAAAGATAACAGACAAAGAAAAACCAATTTCAAGTTGCTGAAATGATAGGCAACATACTGTATTTGTGCATACCAGTGCGCGTGTCTGTGTAGTAAACAGGACAATCAGAAAACGAAAATATCTTGTAATAAAGACATACTGCCTTACAAGTTATTTAAATGGGCAAATACCTTATGGAAAGGTCCCAGAATTTTTTCTCCAGCATATGACTTGAAGTTTTGGTTTACAATATGAGTAATCATAAGTCGAGGAGCTCCAGCTTCATTGGCCATTGCTGGAGGTGGGGGTGGAGGAATACTATTCAAAATCTCTTCTAAGCTTCTATTATCAAGTTCCTCACCTGGAACCTCTAGGTCAGAGGAAAGGAACAGGCAGGCAAAGAGGAAAAAAAAGCCTACATTAGTGTTATCAGTTTAAAAGACTACAGCCTGCTAATACTTAAAAATGGAACGGAGAGATGTTACTTATGAAAACTAGGAATCTGTATTTTCCACACAGATATAGTATTATCTTAAACTCATGGGGATGATCATCTTTCAGCTTCATTTTGTTAAGAAAATTCTTGAAAGAAAAAGCCACCAGTCATAAAATTCTATACATAACACTTCCTCAAAACACCACACCATAAAGTAAACTTGCGAAGATCGCAACGTAGTCCCTGCTCCCAGTCTTAAAGAGGCGAAGGAATCCTAACGGTCCAAATAAAACGCAACTCTACATGGTTCAGGCACCCGAAAACCTCACAAGCTTCAGTGACACGGTCACAGGAGTCACGGAGTAGCGTCCAATTCCCACACCTCAAAACCTAGACGCTCTCGAATTATCTACTTGTCTTTAGGTAATCTAAGACCATAGAGGTGAGCTCTGAGGCTGGGAACCAGCACTCTGCATCACCTGCAGTCCAGTCCGGGAGGCCCAGCAACTCTGGGCTGTTCACGCAAGCCGCTTTCAGCGGAAATACTACACAGATGCCAGCAGCTCGCCAAAACATCTCCGAAATCCACATCCCATGTCCCCCGCTCACCCTCATCATTTCCCGAACCCTTACACCGAAACTGCACGGAATCCCGTCGGAAAACCGTGAGTGGCTTTCTAGAGTCGAACCCCGACCTTCCGACGTCAACCTGTTGCCCAAGCCCCACAGCCCCAGCGGGTGGTGGCAGGGCCGCGACGCACCTGGGGCCCAGGCGGGTCACTCACCTGCAGCGGCCGCCGCGTTGTCCGCTGGGCCGGCGAGAGGCACGGGCTCCGCGTCGCTGTGCGCGCTGTCCGGGGAGGGCGGTGGCCCTTCCTCCGCGCGCCGGGCGGTGGAGGGCTGGGCGCCTCTTCGCGGCATGGTGGCTGTGGCCGGGGGAGAGCCAGGTCAGCCGCAGCTCGTTCTCGGTTCCCCCGCAGCAGGACCCGCTCCGCCCGCCCCCGCGTTTCCCGAGCCGGCTCGCAGAGCGGGTGCGGAGTGAAGCGGACACCCAATACCCGGTGGCAGCGAGGCGGGACTGGGGAAACCCACTCAACTCCTTCCGCGCCACCCGCGCCTGACAGTACCACGCCCTCGGGGCGTGGGGCGTGGGGCGTGGGGCGCTCGGGCTCGGGGAGTCTGTCCAGCTTTGGGATGCAGGGGCCGGCGAGCAGCCGCCCGCTTTCCTCAACCCACCTTTGCGGTTCCGGACGGCCGAGGGACTCCGAGGTCTCCTCCCCGCCGTGTCCGCGGGGGGCCCGGGGCGCCGTCCCGTCGGACACTAGAAACCACGTTAAATCCCCCCAGGAAAGGCTCCGAGGGGGTGAGGTGTCCCCGGAAGCCGCGACACTCGGGCAGTGAGCCGGAGCCGGCCGGGGCGCAGCGTCTCCCGGGGAAGAGCGGCCACGGCCGGGGGGGAGGGGTGACAGGAGCGCAGCTCCGCCGCCCGGGGCCGCTCGGGCTCCAGGCCTTGGTCTTCTCGCTCCCGCGGACAGCGCAAGGAGGAGGAATGGGACGACCTGATCTGGAAAAGAAGCGCTTTACCTGCCCGCAAGTCCACTCCGAACACGGCTGGGAACCGCTGGATGCGCGCCCCCGCCCCGCTCCTACCGGTGTTTCGGCTCCGGGTCCTTCACTCGAAAATGGCGCCTAAAATCCAAACTCGAACGGAAATTCGTTACAAATGCGCGCAATGGTTTCTGGGATCCGCGAATTTGAAAAAAAGTGCGGCGATTCCCACCGCCATCTTCGGGCCATCGGTGCGCATGCGCGGGCTGCTGGCGGGCCGCTGGCCTTCGGGGAAGTTTCCACCGAGTGAAAAGGGAGAGCGGGGAGGTAGAAGTGTGGAATACGGCCTTGGCTCCTGCAGTGGACACGCCTGCAGTTGAAAAACAACTGACGAAGTTTGAAAAAGAGGAAAAATGCCAAACCGGAGCAGAGTCCCGCCCACGACCGTAGGCGGGGCTCTGGGGTCCAATGACACCTCTGGAGGGGAGGGCGGGCTCGCGTGGGGGCGGGGCCTAGGGCCCGCTGGGATGTCGGGCGCCGGGCAAGTATCGCGGGAACTGGGAAGGGCGAGCGAGCGTAGCGCTTAGAAATCACTATGGTGACGGGAAGGCCGGGAGACTTCTCGGCGACTAGTCTCGGCTCTGAGAGAGTCGCCACTGCTTTCCTGGATCTTGAGGTAAATTTCTTCACTTCCAGGCGTTGTAAGGAAAGGGCCTGGAAGGGGTCACTGTCTTTGAACCCGCCTTCCCCTGCGCTGACCGGATGCGCTTCGCGGAACATCAGTTACTTCGTCTCCGCAGAGCTCTTGGGGCGCTCTGGGTACGGAGTTTAGAGGGAAAGCTAGATCGGTATTACTGAGCGATTTGTAGACCACATGGGAATAGCACAGTGATGATTTTCGAATCCTTTGTGTTATGTTCTTAGTGTCACTAGGGAAAGGGTTTTGGATTGGGAAAAAATGTGGCCAACCGGGATCCTAATGGAAGAAACGATTTGCTAGTGTCACCTAGTTACAATGATGGAGAAATTATTTGGTTCTTAAGTCGCATTCGTATGTACTGCGCTGAGCAAGGAGTAATCAGGATTATCAGACAAGTGTGACAATTCCTACTCGTAGAGAACTTCATTAGTAGGCTTTTAACCTGGTTTGAGTATATGATGGTAGGTGGAAATTGTATAAAGTTCTGTATGATTGTGCTTTTTTTCCCTAGAGGATTAGTTTAACCACAGTTTATGTCAGATTTTGAAAAGTGGTCCGAATTCCCCACAGTGTTAAAGAACCACTGATTTGATTTGACTACTTCCAATAAGTATTTATTCAGCAACTTTTAAGCTGAGAACTGCTAGCCTCATTTTTTTTTCCCGTTACATACTTCGGGCTTGGCATATAAAGCACTAATAAACGGGCTTTATGAATGAATTTATATTGTTGCTCTGAAATATATTATGACTCTTGGCATGGAGATGCATAAACAAAGTAACAACAACAACAAACAAAACAAACTACTTCTGTGGGATATGTTATATCAAAAAGAGGTCTGCCATGGCCTTAGATTGTTACTGAACAGTCTTTATGTGGGAAGTGAGGAGTGCTGACACAATAAAGAAGGACGAATCCAAAGTCATTTTGGGGAAAATGATTGCTTTTGTAGATCTTGATGGCTAAGTGTGTCAATCCTTAAAGGCAATCAGGTACTTAATTCTTTGTAACTCTGGATTAGTGAGCAGGTAACAGGAAGAACATCATAGATGAATCCTAGTTTTACAGATTTGGTTGCTGTGGGTCTAGAAAGTTCATGACTGATATGAAAAAAATATAGATTCAGTAAATCAGTTTACTGATCGGTAAATTTAATTGAACCTAACTATGTCCCATTCTGAAAACATATTTTTTCCTTTCTTTTTCTTTTTTTGGTTTTTGAGACAGGGTCTCTCTGTAGCCCCAGCTGTCCTGGAACTCACTATGTAGACCAGGCTGGCCTCAAACTCACAGAGATCTGCCTGCCTCTGCCTCCCAAGTGCTAGGATTAAAGGCCTTGAATTCATTGTTAGTCGAGGCTGGCCTTGAATTCCTGATCTTCCAGCTCCTGTATCTTGAGTTCTGGGATTAGCGACAGGTACCACCATGCCTGATGGAAAGAGTATATTCAGAGTAGTCTCAAACTAGGTTGCTTAATGAAGAAAAGGCATAACAGACAGCTGCAGAGTAGACTGCAGAGTAGACTTAAGTCTGGAGAACTATGAACATTTTGAGTTGGGGATGTAGCTCAGTTAGTAGAATGCTTGTCTAGCATGCAGGATGCCCTGGACTTGATCTGCAGCATTATATAAAACTGGATGTGGTGACAACACCTGTAAAAGAACACTCAGGTGGTAGAGGCAGGAGTATAAGAAGTTCAAGGTTATCCCCAGTTATATTGTGAGTTTGAGGTGATGAACTAAGGCTACTTGAGATTGTGTTTCCAAAAAGAAAGAATGAATTATGTAATTTTCAAATTTATGTATTTGTTGTGTGTATATAGTGGATGTTTATGTTTCTACATGTCCGTGTGTGTGTACGCACGCCAGAGGTCAACATTGGTGCTTTACCACTTGTGGTGGTTTTAATGAGAACATCCTCCATAGGCTCCAAGTATTTGAACATTTTGTCCCTAGTTGGTGGTGCTGTTTTGGGAGGTCTTAGAAGGTATGGCCATGCTGGAGGAAGGACGTCACTGGGGGCAGGCTTAGAGTGTTCTTAAGCCTTGCCAGATCTCTCGTTAACTCTCTGCTTTCTGTGCGTGCTTAAAGATGTGAGAGCTTAGCTTCTGCTTCTACTTCAGCCACCTCTGCCGCCATGCTTCTCCGCTGTGATGGACTCCTGCCACTTTAGAACCATAAGTTAAATAAACTCTTAAAAATTCCCTTGGTCATGGTGTTGTCTTTCCTAGCAACAGAAAAGTAACTGATACACCAACTGAGTCATTTCCCCAGCCTCCTGAGTGTCATTTTTGAGAAGATACTAGGAACACAAGAAATAAAGACTTTGAGTTGATTGTTGTCAATACCGTGGACACTTCTCATGAAATCAACAGAATCTAACTTTAAAGAGAAGTTAGTCCACTTGAGAAAGACTGGTTTATATGTAATCAATCATAGCTTAGTTATAATCATAACCCAGTTTCGGGGAAGTATTGCCATCATCTTTCTAGTCTAAGTTGATCTACTAACAACCTGTATCTGCAGCTTCAAGCAGTCTGAGAAAGGAAGCCTCATTTTTTCTTTATTTGTACATTAGAAAAATAAAATTAGGAGCCAAGTATGATGTCACATGCCTTTAATCCTAGCACATGGGAGGCAGAAGCAGGCGGATCTTTGTGAGTTTGAGACCATCCTGTTTACATAGTGAATTCCAGACTAGTGGACTACTGGGAGACCCTGTCTCAAAAAAACTCAAAACAAAACAAAAATAAAATTATGGGGGAATGGGAACTACACATCTGTAATCCCAGCAGTTGTAGGCTGAGGCAAGAGGGTCTGAAGATCAAAGCCAGTGGCTGAAGAAATGACTCAAAGGCTAAAAGCACTTGCTCTTCCAGAGAACCTGGGTTCGGTTCCCAGCAGCCCCATGGTGGCTCAAAACTAAGTGTAACTTCATTTCCAGGGGATCCAATAGGCTCTCTTCTGGCCTCATGCTCCAGGCACACACATGCAGGCAAAATGCTTATACACATAAAATAAAATGCTTATACACAAAAATAAATATTTTAAAAAGGTCATAGCTAATTTAAGCTATATACAAGATCCTGTGTCAAATTTTTTTTTTTAATTGAAAAGAAGAAAAGTAAAATTTTACCCTATAGGAAGAAATAATTAAAAGGGGGCTTGGTGTGGTAATGCATACCTTTAATCTCAGCACTCACGGGCCAGAGGCAGGCAGATCTCTGAGAGTTTAAGACCAGCCTGATCTGCATAGCTAATTCTAGGCCAACCAGGGTTATACTCGAGACTCTCTAACCAACCAACCAAACAACCACAACAAAAAAACCTCCAACCAACTAAATAAAGAATTGGAATTAAAATTCTTATTTGAAATTCTTTTCTAAAAAATATTTGTTTTTATTTTGTGTGTTGAAAGTTTTGCTTGCACGCGTGTAAGTGCACCTGTGTCATGCAGAGCTCGTGGAGGCCAGAAGAGTGCATCGAATTCCTGGAACTGGAATTAAGGATAGTTGGTAGCTGCAACGAAGGTGCTAGGAACCCAACCTGGGTCTAAGTGCACTTAACCACTGAACCATTTCTTCAGCCTCATTTGCAGTTCTTTAAAAGCTTGGTTGAGCATTGTCATAATTGCAATAATTTGTATTTTGTTTACCTTCTAAAAGATTTTAGAAAGTCTAAATTTAGATTTATGAATAAATGTTTAAAAATATAATTATTTAGGTCACCTAAATATTAACTAATAAACATGGATTTACTTAAATAGTATTTATATAGAGAGAATATTGCTCAAAAATTATGTTAGTAGAGATGGTGATGAATATTCCTCTTGATAGGAAAAGTCCCCGAAGGATATAGTACCATTTGAAAGATGGATTTATGTTTCTTCCTGTGTGTTAATTATGGGAAGTTACATTCAGGAGGCAGTAGCAGTAAAGCACGTAGCTCAGAAGTGAAAATAGGACAGGATAATTGGAATATTAGCCCAGCTTGGTGATGCTTGCCTGTACTCCCAGCACTACACTGGTGGAGGCAGGAGGATCAGAAGTTCAAGATCATTCTTGGCTACACAGCAAATTTGAGGTCAGCCTGGGCTAATGAGGCCCTGTCTCAGAAACAACACAAAGGAGCACTAAAAATAGATTAGATTTTCATGGTTTAAGTGAGAGAGGCTAGCACTAGATCAATCATATTGAGGAAATACCATCTTTAGATTTTTTTTTTTTTTTTTGAGACAGAGTTTCCCTGTAGCCCCAGCTGGCCTGGAACTCACTATGTAGACCAGGCTGGCCTCGAACTGACAGAGGTCTGCCTGCTCCTGCCTCCCATGTGCTGGGATTAAAAGCATGTGGCCTCACGCCTGGTCATCTTTAGAATTTAAAAAGTACAAAGTCATGCCTAAGCTAAGCCTCTTTAGATTACAAGTGACAGACAATCCAATTGAAGTAGTCTTGAGGAAAAAAGTCCCTCATAATTAAAAAGTCATATAACCAGGCCTGGGGTTATACTACTTGCTAGCATACTGAAGGCCTTAGACACCATCCCACAATGCACATGTGGACACACACACAGACACTCAGACACACACACAGACACACACACACACACACACACACACACACACACACACACACACATACACAGACACACAGTGTAACTGCTGGACACACCAGCATTTTGTTTCTTTCTTGCCTTGCACTTAGTTGTCCTGGCATCACATTCTGGCTCACATGGTGCTATTTAGTGCCTCCAGGCTCCCCACTTCCTGTACAGTGTTATAACTGTAAGTCCTTTAAAACTGAAGACTGAAGACAGGGTAAGGAGAGTTTTTCTTCCCAATTTCCTTCCTCCCTCCCTCCTTCCATCCTTCCCTTCCTCCCTTTCCTTCCTTTCTTCCATTCTTTCTTTTTTAAAAGTCTTTGTTTTTAGTTTTAATTGTGTGTGTCTGTGTGTAGGTTTATACACATGAGTGAGGCC